ACATGTTTTTCCACTCGAAGAATGATTCAGAACATAAAGGGTATCGTTTTTGTTTCATAAGGTAATTCTTGTTCATTTTTCAGATGAAATGTAGTAACGATGATAACGGATTCACAGAATATGATTAGCTTTTATGGTTATCATAGTGAAATGGCATTTATGAACGATTTATGAAATACGGATCCCGATAATTTCACTGCATATATTGTTACAATTACATGCAAATAACGACGAAGAAGACTGATATCTTGACCTCGTTTTTCATTATTGTTGAAAATTCCGACGACGCTTATTTTAATCTGCGCAGATAATCTTTTATTTGTTGAACCTTGATTTGACATGGAAGGAATTATCATTGACACGTTTTATGTGGCATGGAAATTCTTTAGTCGAGATATTTGAAAAAGTCGTTTCATTTTCTTTTAGCGTATGAAAGAGCGAGGAAATGGCGCGATGGAAATTTTTTACGATAGGAAAGCGTGATTCGAAGCAGCGTGTTTGCATTCGGCGGGAATTTATGCTTTAGTTTTTTTCATTTGATAAACGAATATTAAAGAAAGAACTAAAAGCCGGATACGCGTTCTGAAACATTCTATTTTCCATTAATTTATTCACTGTACTCCACCAACATGAGCCTGTTATCTTCCAGTGTATACGTTTTATTGAAGAATTGTATCGAGTTATTCAACGTAAACTTTTTAAATATGACGAATTTAAAATGTTATAGCGTCCTCTTTCTCTTGCATCCTTTCAAATTAATTTCCAAATATTCTACAAAATGCACGTCGAATAAACTAGTGGCAGGGAAATTATCCTCTAAATAATGCAAAATTAATTACGGCAAATAATGTAAAATCATAAAATCATATTGTAGTTGAAACCTCATATAGAAAGCAAATGTTTTGAAAGCTGAGGCGCGTGTATCTTCACATTGTTTCTTATAGGCGCACCTGGTGATTCGATTAAACAGGTCCAACTGTAAGTTACCAAAGCATGAAAGAATTCTTTTGTACTATAGAAGAATTCAATTGAAACAAAACAAACCAACATTCCATCATACGTGAAATTCAGGAATTATTTCCAAAAGCAAATCGAAACCGAACAATACTGCAGAGTATCATTCATGAGCAATCTTCTCGATTCCAGAAATAAAATATTTTAATTTTTTCAAATCGTGTCGCATCTTCAGAACAATTCAAAAACCTCGAACTATACGGTCAAAATCTAAATCCATCAGCAGAATTGTGGCGTAAACCTAAAAAATAAATCACGCCACGCATCACTTACATAAATGAGAACTCAGTCCATAAAACGGCCATTTCCGTTTGGATAGAAAAAATCTTGAAAATTTCAGAAATCAATTCCTTTTTAAAAATTTCCATTCGTCTTTTGTTCCACCGCTTCCGCGATGATCAGAGGCTTGCAAGAAAGTCTCATACGGGTACAGAATTACAAAGCCCGAGACCGACAATAAGAGCGAACAACAATAAATAAATAACGCGTCGCATATATGTAAGCCGAAAACAAATCCAGGCGAAGGAGGAGGGGGATGAAAAGCAAAACAAGAAGAGAAAAAAAAAATTTTTGAGTAAAACACACAGGAAAGAAAATACAAAATAAATAAACAAACAAACAAACCAAAACAACGCGGCGTGTTTCTTTCGCTTTTTTTAAATATATTTTCTTTTCCAGTTCTGCGCCAGAACCTTTCCCGAAGCGTGATGTTTATATATATATATACTGTATATATATATTCCCCCCGGTGCGAATCGCAGGCGGTTCTTTATTCTCTCCCTCACCAACAATATATATAAGGGGAGCAAAACAAAAAATGTGTTTCTGGGAAGCTAAATACTGTATTACGAAAATAATGAAAAAAAACAAGAGAGGGAGAGAGAGAGCTTTGCTTATTGTTGGTAATTCAATGAGTTCTTTTTTTCGTTCTTTTTTGTTCTTCCCCGCTACGACATTTCCTTGCTGGTTTCTGGTCTGTTCTGGGTTCTTGTCGTCGTTGTCACACAGGCATCGCGGTAATAATGCGCGTCATGGAGCGGTATTTAGTCTGAGCGCGAAAAACCCAGCGACATTATGCCGCAAGGGGGCTTTCATTAAATTCTTCGGTTTTTTAAATTTAAATTTAAATTTGCTAGTTTTTCTTTCCGGCAGACGAGATACGTCTTTTGGAGTTTTTTTAATGGGGAAAATGGCACTAGCGCCAATAAATACAGTATTTGAGGATTGAAAAAAAAAAAATGTCAACACCATTATGTTACGCAAGGGTAGAGGGGGAAGAAAAAAACAACTTTTTGAAAGTTTCGCAGGGTGTTGGAGAATGTTGAGACTTCCGAAACTTTTTTTAAGCATCAAGTTGAGTCAAGAGAGACAATTTTACAATTTGGAAAAAGTCAATTGATTGTAAGACATAATTTCGAAAAGCTACGTTCCACTACTCATAAAACATTCAGAGCTCAAATAATTAAATAGTTCCTTTATTCTGAGAGGAGCCTCTTCTTTTTCACGCGCTGTGGCTGAAATTCATGCCTTTGACTTGGTGTGAATTTTTTTTTTCATTTCATGCAGTGTTTGCATTTACTGTAACTACTTTTTGATTTATTTGTGGAATTCTGTGATTGTAATTATCAGAGGAAATTTAATGTCCGCAGTGGGAGGAACGACCAGTAGGATCCTACAGGGGTCTGGGGGGGAATGATAAGGACGTCATGTAACGTGTGTCTGTGGCCTTTGGCACCTTGAATTAATTTCCCTACTTGAAAGTGCAATTAAGTTTTCAGGATGGCCAAGTGGTCTAAGGTGCTGCGTTCAGGTCACAGTGTGGTCCTACAGGCGTGGGTTCGAATCCCACTTCTGCAATCATTTTTTCATTTTTTTTCTCGCTTTTTTGTCCGCACTGCGGACGCTCTACTACTTGATAGAACAGAACTAGGAATGTACAATTAAGGTGCCCTCTTCAAATGCAGATTCTTGGATGCAAAGGGGTGCTTTGATTGACTGCCTTGTTTTTATTTTTATTTTTACAATGCGTGCAATAATTCTGCTGTTGTCTTTTCTCTGAGTTTATAAATTAACAACACAAAAGCACAGAAAATAAGAAAGCTCTGATTTGATTCCAAACCCGCCGATGACTTGAAAACCGACGCTCGGAAAATTTTTGAAAGATTATCAATTTGTAAATTATTTTAATACATTATTCGCATGTTCATGTATTTTTTGGACGAGGATTGCTTGGAAATTGTTGTATCCCAAACCCTGTTTGGAATACAAACAGTGAATCGAATTGTGAATCGAAAATCTGCCTTCTGACTTTCTGCCGGTCCCACAAATTCAAAAAATCTTTTAAAAAGATTAAAATTTATTTGTCATTTAGCTGTATAGCAACAAATTTATAGTTTTCAATGGTTTTCATATCCACATGTGGACGCAAAGAGACACAAACTGTATAACCCTAGTAAAATGTGTGCATCGTTCATCATGAGAAAGAAAATTACGCACCTGGATGGTTGCAATGAAAAAAAGTCATGTTTGAAAGACAATTCTTACGACTTTCCTAAATTTCTACGTACTTCTCTTGAGCATCTGCATTTGAATTTCACTATTTACTCAAATATCGCTTTGCAGAAATTGAAAATTTGGCAATGCTGTAGTTTCAAAATCGGACCGATTTTCCGGGTCCTCCCTTAGCTCATATGTTAAAAATTGTATCATCATGCCCTTAATGATGATGTACTGTATAAAAAGTACGCAAATATCCTTTACCTTGTTTTTTAAAAATGAGATCCGATCGAAGAATTCAAGTCTCATCTTGACATTCTCGTTCAAACGTTTTTAAAAAACATTTTGCTGATATTGATCAGGTATGATTTTGAGGTTAGGGTTGGAAAGAATCGTCCGAGGACTAATCATTATTCTTTTTTTTTTTTCAAAGTTCCTGTGGAAAACATCCACATCAGCTCCTGTATGCAGTACACAATCATTCACAGCAAAATATAATGTTTCTCTCTCTGATTTCCGAATCGAATCAATATTTTTATGATGACCCTTTCCGAAACCGTGTTTTCCTCCGGGTGAGGAAGAAAAATGAAATCCTGCCTCGCCCTCTTGTCAAAAACAAAGAGGAAAAGAAAAACTAATGCGGAAATGGTAATGAATTTTTTTGCTGACGAAGAAAAGTACAGCAGCAAGAAAAGTACAGCTGATTATTTTATGCAGCTCGTAATTTCACATTTATAGCGATGGAGCGATTTAATTCTGAAAACAATACTGCATTTTCGAGGAAATAAATTGAGAAAAGTGGGATATGATCAAACAAAACTACAAAAGTCGTTCATCTTCCATTCATTTTGGCAATAATACACATTTAATAAAAAGGAAAGGAAAATAAACCTCACATGCGCGAATAATGAGGCATTGTAATTGCCTTTGTTCATGTACTGTACTATAAACAATCAAAGCATAAAGGAGGACAATCTGCATGACTTTTAGAAACCTATCAATGAAAAAGTCCCCAGCAAAAATTAATTTATCGTTCATCCCATCAATTTAATTTTTGATCACATTTTATTCTTGCACAATTTCCTGATTTCTTGGGCCTAAGAGGCTACCAAAAAACCAGGGTGTGGTCCATAAATGCTCGAATAAAACAATTTGGCCCTTTTTTCATGTGTGGGGGGGGGGGGGTGTCTAGAATTTTATGACGAGTTCCAAGATCGAGTCTTTATAAGGCAGTACAGTATGAGGAACCCGCCGCGTCAGCGACACTCGACACTGTCGACGAGTGTCTTTGACGACGCGGCGTTGAGTGCAACGATCACTCTTCGCACAATTTTTTGTTGCTGTTGAAAGGCCAATGCTGATGGAAAAGACCTGTTCGAAGACAAGGTCTGTTCGAGTGAATATTGCTGGTTTTCAGATTGTAAACGCACCGAAGAAAATGCATAAAATGTGACTCCAAATTAGCGACGGATTCTCGTATTATTTTAGAAATGCGAGACTCTTGTAGAAAATTAGATAACGGAAAACCCTTTTTGGGGGGGGGGGGGGGGGTTCTGAGTTCAGAAAGTCATCGCTTTTTTATTGAGAGCTTTTTTTAATGAAATTTTTTCAGTTAAAGAAAGGAATACTGTATATTTTTACATACTTCTCTAACAATTCTGATTGAAAATAGCAGTTAAAATAAAATATGGGATGAAGAAAAAGTCACGCAATTTCGAATCATGCATGATACAAATCATAAAACGAAACTTTAAAATAAGCAGTTCGCATGTTTTGAGCAACAATTGCGGAGCAGGGAACATTTTGGAGGAAAAGTAGCTTGTATGTACAGTACGTCCAAAAACAGTCAATTTTCTTGCTAACATAATTGAAGGAAGGTAAAATGAGAAACATATTCAAAAACGGATAATTTATAACACACGAAATTAATCTGCGAGTTTTCGTGAGGCCTTCGTTCATGCGTATAAGGTATTTTATTTTTTTTGTAATGCATGACAGGAAAAAATGTATCAAAGAAAATTGAGAAGTTCCAAAATTTTTTCTCAATAATTTCTCCATTATTCGAAGAAATTTTGTAACAATTTCTGGAATTATGCTAACTCATGCATGAAGTTCAAGATTTTTCCTGAGGATGCTAACCTTTTTTTTTTCTGCTTACGTTTCGAAGATTACGAATAGTTTCGAAGCTCGAAGATTTGAATTTCTCAGAAGTTTTTCCCTGTTACATTATTACCGAAATTTCAAAAATCAAGCATCATCGATTCCTTCGCATCGGACAGTTCATTTTTTTTGAAAGGTCCTCAATTCAATCGAAAATTTGATGTCATTCCATTTATTTTTTTGTGTGCAGGGAATTTGGTGACGATCATAGCGTTGAGCAGATGCAGGAAATTGCGAGTGAATGCCACGACGAAATTTGTGTTGTCACTGTGCGTGACCGATTTGATTTTCTGCGGATTCAACCTGCCACTGACCGCTGTTCGGTACATCAGAGAAGAATGGATTTTTGGCGAAACCCTGTGCACTTTGTTCCCGTTCTTCTTCTACAGCAACGTGTCCGCCAGCTTGTTGTGCATGGTTGCCATCACGGTAAATAGGTGAGCAGACTTTGAATATCTTCGGTGTGGGATTTATTCATCTATTTTTTTCTGTAGAGGGGAGCAAAGCACTGGAAAAACGATTATCATCACGAGCGCGAATAACTCAAAATAATTTGTAAAAAAAAAATTTAGAGCGGAGCACTTTCAAAAGTGTAAATGCATAACACAGTTGAACCTTCCTCTGATTCACAAACGGAGGAACTCGAACATTATTGAGGGTTTTTTTTATTCAGTTTGAGAAACCATTTTTAAACCTTTTTTTTTTAAAGCAAGTGCAGGAAGGAAACATTTGAAAATTCTATGTAGGGTCTCAAGCTGCAGAGTAATAATCGAGTTGACCTGCAGATACAAGGGTTGTCCCACTTCCGCTTGGCCTTGGGTATTTCTAGAGATGCTACCACGGTGAAAAAAAATTATATGATGTATCACATACTATTGTGAGGTTCTGGGATTTTTTTCAAAATTTTAGAAAAAAAAATTGGATTTAATGCGTGATGAGTGAAAACTTTCCAGATCCGGTGAGAGTTCTTTATTCGTGTCATAAGCTGTTGAAACTTTTTCAGGCTAGACAAAACTTTGAAAATTGTATGTTATTTTTAGCATGCCCTTTTCTGTATTTGGTGAAATTTCGAAATATTTCAAATGATTATTTCGTTTGCAAAGAAAAATGAAAACCTAAGAGCATTTTTGACATTTTTCTAGAGCAAAAGGGTTTATTTATGATTTTTTTCTTCTATTTCCTCTCCAAGAACTTCGTCCAAAGATTATTTCTCAGTGTGTCTCTCTTTTTAAGTCACATTTGAGGCGTTTTTCATTATTTTTGATCAATACATTATTTTTTTTGGTAGACAACCCTTTGACATACAATGAAAATTTGCAACAAAAAAAGTTCCAAATTTGCCCGCGGCATCGAAGCTCGTCATGTCTGTATATACTATTGATCATCACCTCACATTTCGTTTCCTATTGCCTCAATCATCACGTGCTATCAATGCATTGACCTGATCCGAACCAGTTCCGATTAGATAAATATTTATGCCGCTTTGACGAGTTGATGAGGAGTAATTCATCATCCGGGTCGACCAATTAGGTTTGCCTCTGCGGGGTTTATTTTATTTTATTTTAGTTTTTATCCCCTGCGGTTGTTTTTTTTTTCCCCCATGTCCCCAATCAAGAACCGATTGCCCGCAAGCACGTGCAACAAACCCAAATCCCTCTCGGCAAGCCTCCAAAAGGCGGGATTACGTCACAACAAATCCTTGACTCTGTATCCCATGATTTAGGCATCCTTTTCTTTACAAATTTGTTTTCATCTTTTTTCTCTTGTGGTTTTGTTTTACTATTATAGGGACAAGGGAATTAAACGGAAGAAAGAAGAGGCAAATGAAGCCAAGTCGCGGGCTTTGAGATGCTGAGGCATTAACCTGAATTCACCCCGCGGCCGGGTTTCGGTCCGATTAAAATTCTTGTTGCGAGCCGTGTCATATTATCAGCGAGGGGCATTCGAAAAGTATCTGATC